TCTGCCCAGGCGGGTCTCAAACCCGCGGGCTCAGGCAATCCACTCACTTCAGCCTCCCAAAGGTGCGGGATTACAGACTGAGCCACCGAGCCCGGCTAATTATCTGATTTTTAAGCCCACGGAAACCAGAGAGAGCAAGCTGGAAAGGGAGCAGGAAGCTACGAGAGCTTCTCCTAAAGGCGGCTGATGGGTGGGGAGGTGGAAGCACTAGAGAAAGCAGACAGATTCAACAACAGGGTGGTCTGGAGTCACTTAGGCCTGGCAAGTAGGCCTTCGAAGTGCTTACACAAAGTATATAACTGAACACAGTAATCGACTTTGCCACCTGTGACTTGTCAACTAGCTAGGCTGAACTACAAGTACCCAGAATTCCCCTCCTGCATGCTTCTTGTTAGAGTGGGCTACAGGGACACACTCATGAGAGGTGGAGGACAGATGAAGGAGTACCCATCTTCCAGTTTTCAGACGCTGTGAAGGGATTATGCAGAGGTAAAGTCACTGGTCAGTTGATTTTAAATTAATCAAGAGAGCCGGGCTCGGTGGCTCAGCTTGTAATCCCACACCTTTGGGAGGCTGAGGTGAGTGGATTGCCTGAGCCCGCGGGTTTGAGACCCGCCTGGGCAACTTGGCAAGACCTCATCTCTACAATAAATCAAAAATCAGCCAGGCGTGGTAGCGCGTGCCTGTAATTCCAGCTACTCGAAAGGCTGAGGTGGAAGGATCGCCGGAGCCCAGTGGGTCGAGGCTGTGGTGGCCGGGAGCGGCCACTGCACTCCAGTCTGGGTGACGGAGACTCCAACTCAAAAAAAAAAAAATTAATCAAGAGGGAAATTCAGCTGACCGGTCTCACTTAATCAGTTGGAAGTCCTTTAAAAGAGGGTGTACCGAGCCGGGCTCGGTGGCTCAGCCTGTAATCCCGCGCCTTTGGGAGGTTGAGGTGAGTGGATTGCCTGAGCCCGTGGGTTCGAGACCCGCCTGGGCAGCGAGACCTCATCTCTACAATAAATAAAAAAAATCAGCCGGGCATGGTAGCGCATGCCTGTAATTCCAGCTACTCGGAAGGCTGAGGTGGAAGGATCGCCGGAGCCCAGCAAGTCGAGGCTGCGGTGGCCGAGAGCGGCCACTGCACTCCAGTCTGGGCGACAGAATGAGACTCCAACTCAAAAAAAAAGAGGGTGTACCATCGAAAAAGAATTGGATAAAAAAAAAAATGTGGTATATATACACAATGGAGTATTACAAAGTCATAAAGAAGGAGAAAATTACGAACTTCACGGCAACTTGAATGAACTTAAGAGTCTATAATACTGAGCAATGTATCACAGAAACAAAGAACTCAGTACCACGTGTTCTCACTCATAAGTGGACCTTGAACAATTATCGGAATGCTCTAAGAAAAGGATTGGCAACAGTGGGAATCTACTCCGGGGTGGGAGGAGGTGGCACACCTTATCAACCGGGATACCTGCATAATGAATATTTGTATACCTGACCCTGAATTGTACCCCACATCTCTAAAATAAAAAAATTTTAAAAGAAAAAAAAGGGTGTAGGACATCACCAACAGCATTTGGGTCTGAACTGCTCTTCCTTCCCGACAGCCCGACCTGTGGACCTTCAGTTTATTTTGACAGCCCCACAACGGCATAAGCCAATTCCTCATCATAAATTCATACATACACACACTACACGATGATGTACTCCTCCTACTTCGATTAACCTCGACTGATTCACCACTGAATATTATGACTCTTCAAGATAGTGTTAAATCACAGCCAGGCGCAGTGGCTCACACCTGTAGCCCCAGCACTTTGGGAGGCAGAGGCGAGAGGATTGCCTGAGCTCATGGGTTCGAGAACTGCCTGGGCAACATGCGAGACCTTGTCCCTACAATAAATTTAAAAATTAGCTGGGCATGGCAGCATGCACTTATAGCCCCAGCTACTTAGAAGGCTGAGGCAGAAGGATCACCTGAGCCCAGCAGGTCCAGTCTGGACCTGTACTCTACTGTACTCCAGCCTGGGGACAACAGAGTGAGACTTTAGTGTACTTTGTTTAAGGAGAGAATCAGATAACAATTCAGAAAGATTCTCAATAAAATAATTCAAATTATCAGATTATCAGTTTTATTGTATAGAAGGATAGGTTTAAGTTGCATGGAAAATTCACGAATGAAAAACACCTCCTTCCCTAATGATGCCAGATAAATGACACACTACCATAACGCTTTTAGAGAGTGGCTTATGAAATACTATACACTTTGTCTCTTACCTGATTATTAGCTGGATGTGATGTGGCAAAATATCCTTAATCTTCAGGATGACACTGAAGCTGCACCAAATGTTGGCTACTTTATCCTTAAAAGAAATGAATTAGTTTTATACTCTGATATAATTGAAAGAAATGTTAAACCCCACAAGGTACAGTCCATAATCTCTAATAAACTTCTGAGTCATATAAAACAATTAAAACTAAGTAGATCAAATCCCCCAAGGAATAAACATACACAAACACTCTCCCTCTCAAGCATTTTTCATTTTCTTGCATGGAAACTGATCTAAATCACTGGCTAACCATAATATAAACATTCCTAAGAACTAATATTTTCCAAGAGCAGTACATTATCCCTGAGTACTGAAGTTATTTATCTTTGGAACTTTTCTAGGAAATCTTTATCCCCCTAATTTGTAGAATACGTATTACTTTTGACCCATTTTTATCATATAGCTGAATTTATTTAGAATAACCTACTAGCTACTAGCAATAACAAGAGCTAATTGCTAATTAATCAAGAAATTTAAAGACAGCAGTTGTACTGGGATTACTTTCAATTAAATTTGTAACTACAACTCTCATGCTGATGAAACCCATCTTCTACACAGCTCTTGACTCATAGCTGGACAGGCGTTAACAGCAAGAAAGCAACCACCACTGACAACTTTACCATCCCACTTTCCTCTCTTGTTGGTTCAAAGAAAAAATTCTTCAGGCTTTGAGGGCAACAAATGAATGGAAAAGACTGACAACACCATCAATCATGTCTGATGCTCATTCTTGTAAAAATCATATCACTTCTGAAACAGAAGGTGTGTAACCAAGCAGCTCACGTAGTGAATTCAACTTTTCTTGATATATGTGTTAGTTCAAGGTTATATAAAGCAGAGGTTAGGAGTATGATTTTCAAAGTTCAAATCTCAGCTTTGCCCTCAGATTTTCTTATCTGTGAAGTGGGGATAACAGATACCTCAAAGCTACAGCAAGGATCAAATAAAATTACATGGAAGTGGGAGACAGTCATGGTATCTCACACCTATAATCCCAGTGACTTGGGAGGCTGAGGCGGGAAGAATGTTTGAGGCGGGAGGGGTTTGAGACCAGCCTGGGCAGCACAATGAGAACCTATCTCTCAAAAAATAAAAAGAAGAGAAAGAAAGAAAATTAGCCAGGTGTGGTGGTGGCATTCACTTGTAGTCTTAGCTACAGGAGGCTGGGGCAGTAGGATCGCTGGAGCCTGGGAGGTCAAGGCTGCAGCGAGCTATGATCGGGCCATTGCACTCCAGTCTGGGCAACAAAGCAAGAACTCGACTTCAAGAAAAATGTTCTTTAATTACATGGAAGTGTCTGGCACCTAGTAAGTGGTGGGAGTAGCAATAGTGAGTATTTATCATTATTAATATCATCACTTCCTTCATCCCACTGACACACAGTCACACATTCCTGCTCCTTCACAATACAAAACACCTTTTTTAGTCTCTCAAAATGCTTGTTCTATCCTCTTATAAATCCATTGAAAGATATTGTATAGACATTTATATATTCAAAAATTAGGAAGATATATATGCTTTTCTAATTCTTTTTAAAAGAACTGATATTTGGCCAGGCGCAGTGGCTCACGCCTATAATCCCAGCACTCTGAGAGGCCGAGGTGAGAGGACTGCATGAGCTCGTGGGTTCAAGACCAGCCTGGGCAACTTGGCGAGACCTCATCTCTACAATAAATCAAAAAATTAGGTGGGCGTGGTGGCACATGCCTGTAGTTGGAAGGCTGACACAGAAGGATCACCTGAGCCCAGCAGGTGGAGGCTGCGGTGGCTATGAGTATGCCACTGCACTCCAGCCTGGGCAACAGAGTGAGACAGACTCAAAAAAAAAGAAATGTTATTCAAAAGCAAATTATCTATAAATATGTTGTCTCTGTCTAACTTTATTAAAAAGCCTTTTTGCTTCTGAAAAATGGTTTGTTTAATTTAATTACTAAATCTAAATGATCAAATTATTCATGTAATAAAAGTTTAACAAGAGTGATTAAACTAGCATTAAATGAAATGAAATGAAAGATTCTCATTTAAAAATTACTATGGATTAAAGTTATATACCTCATAAGGAATTGTGAGATCTTTCTGAAGCAAACATGATTATTAGTTTAGTCTTTCCTAAGACTAAAAACAGAATGTATCCTCTGAAGATGGGGTGAGTAAAAAGGGGGGGGGACTATAAACCAACACATTACAGAGCTGTTAAAACTGTCGCTGCAGCCGGGCTCAGTGGCTCAGCCTGTAATCCCGTGCCTTCGGGAGGCTGAGGTGAGTGGACTGCCTGAGCCTGCGGGTTCGAGACCCGCCTGGGCAGTGAGACCTCATCTCTACAATAAATCAAAAAATCAGCTGGGCATGGTAGCGCATGCCTGTAATTCCGGCTACTCGGAAGGCTGAGGCGGAAGGATCGCCAGAGCCCAGGAGGTGAGGCTGCCGTGGCCGGAAGCGGCCACTGCACTCCAGTCTGGGGGACAGAGTGAGACTACAACTCAAAAAAAAACAAAAACAAAACTGTGGCTGCAACTTCTTATGCTGTCTTTCATTAAGGAGCCTATTTCATCAAAACAATGTAAAACTGAATTATGGACCTGATGATGGAATAAATATCACCAATTGATGCAATATACTAGAAAACACGAGCTAAGCTAGGGGTTATATAGTGGATTCAATAACTGTCAAGGTACACATGCTTGTAGTCCCAGCTACTTGGGAGGCTGAGGTAGAAAAATCATTTGAGCCCAGGAATTCAAGGCTGCAGTGCACAATGATTGTACCTGTGAATATCCACGGCACTCCAGCCTGGGCAACATAGTGAAACTCTGTCTCAAATAAATAAACAGAGAGGAAAGTTTTTAAACATGCCTCAAATAATCCACGATCAACCGGGAAGAGTCTTCTTAGGACCTGCAGGCTTTGTTCTCTTTCTGTGAAGAATGGTAGCCAGCAGAGAGTGAAGGAAGCCACCACAGTACAAGCTAGCTTAATTAGCAAAACAAACCTTGAATAAAAACAAAGGTAAACGTTAAGACAAGAAAAAGTTACTAATTCTGAAAAATCGAAATGAGACTCATTGAATATAATAAATGCAAATGTATAGTCATGCTAAATCTGCTACCAATACAGGCTCTTAAGATGGAAGTCTGAGCCAGGCTTGGTGGCTCAGCCTGTAATCCCAACACTTTGGGAGGCTGAGGTGAGAGGATTGCCTGAGCCCACGGGTTCAAGACCCGCCTGGGCAACTTGGCGAGACCTCATCTCTAGAATAAATCAAAATATCAGCCAGGCGTGGTAGTGCGCGCCTGTAGTTCCAGCTACGTGGAAGTTGAGGCAGAAGGATCGCCGGAGCCCAGCAGGTCGAGGCTGCGGTGGCCGGGAGCGGCCATTGCACTCCAGTCTGGGTGACAGAGTGAGACTCCAACTCAAAAATCAAAACAAAACAAAACAAAAAAGATGGAAATCTGTTCAAATCTGACTTCAAAAATATCACAACTATTTTGTGTTTTTTTTGAGTTGAAGTCTCACTGTCGCCCAGACTGGAGTGCAGTGGCCGCTCCCGGCCACCACAGCCTTGGCCTGCTGGGTTCCGGCAATCCCTCCGCCTCAGCCTTCCAAGTAGCTGGAACCACAGGCACGCGCTACCACGCCCGGCTGATTTTTTGATTTATTGTAGAGATGAGGTCTCACCAAGTTGCCCAGGCGGGCTCAGGCAATCCACTCACTTCAGCCTCCCAAAGCACTGGGATTATAGGCTAAGCCTCCAAGCCCGGCTATCACAACTATTAAGATATGCATTTCAACAAAAAGACTGCTATCCCCATTGTAATCAACATTTAAGTTTGACGCCATTCCTGTGGGAATAAGGGAATGCTGTCATGAAGAAAAATATCAAATGGGAGGTATTTCTAATAAGTATAAAATGGAATAAGCGGAAGGCTGAGGCAGAAAGATCACAGGAACCCAGCAGGTCGAGGCTGCAGTGGCCAGAAGCAGCCACTGCACTCTAGTCTGAGCGATAGAGTGAGACTCCGACTCAAAAAAAATAAAAATAAAATAAAAATAAAATGGAATAAGCTCTACAGTGATAAAATACGAGAGCAATACTCTCATAAGCCAATCCACATTACTACCAGGAAGTGTACACTGATCAAAGTATTACTCTAATTAAGGAAATTTTAAATAAAAGAATGCAGAACATGACTTAAATCACTTTCTTCCCACTCACCCCATCACCAACACACATATAAGAAATCACCAAAGGTGAAGCGAAAGACCACCTTCCTCCAGGTCAGTATCCCCCCAAATTCTCAGAAGTAAAATCATTAATTACAGTGTTTGAAAGACACTCACCCCTTTCCTTTGAGGCCTTTTTGAAAACACTTGCCAAGCAGAAAGCAAAAAAATGGCAAGGAATGGTAAAGTTCCATCTGTTTGTAATTTATAGCTAAGCAAAATGCCAACGATCCCAGCAGGTCCCAGTCACAAGATACTCCAAGAATACCCCACAAAGCAAAGCCAAGACTCACAGAATTATATGTGTTCCTGTGTCAAGGAAATCACCTCAATAATTTAAAAACACAGACCTTACATTTTATAGAGCATATTTCCTATGTGCTTTTATCATATATGCAATGAAAGCTATTCCCAAGTAGAAATGGAAAGTACTGAAGTAATAAACAAACATGAAATCATATATAATAGCTTCAAGTATATTAAACCTACTGCTAAACAACTGATTTTTTTTTTTTAGGCTTAAAAGAGCTCTAAATAGTTAAAGCACAGCTTTGGTTCTATTATATTACTTCACACTATTACTATAACATCCATCTAGATAATAAAACAATGTCTCAACAGTTATGTTAAAAAAGGAACTTACTGAGATCACTATACCTCCTCTATAATAAAATTACCTCCTCAATAATATAAGTTAATATATGTGCCTAATGAGCAGCTAATAACATTGTTAATCAAAGCAACATCACAACTAGGCTTTCAGTTCGAAATGGTGGGCTGGGCACGCATATTTACCTCCTCTCCTCCCCAAAACTCCCTTAAAATGATATTAAGGAAAGGAACTTTCCATAATCCCAGCACTCTCACTCAAAGGTAAGAGGATTGCCTGAGCCCAAGGGTTGGAGCCCAGCCTGGGCAACTTGGCAAGGCCTCATCCCTACAATAAAACAAAAAATCAGCCATGCGGGGTGGCGCCTGCCTGTAGTTTCAGCTACTTGGGAGGTTGAGGCAGAAGAATCGCCTGAGCCCAGCAGATCAAGGCTGCAGTGGCCATGAGTGTCCCACTGCACTCCAGCCTGGGTGACTTCGACCCAAAAAATAAAATGAGACTTCAAATCAAAAAATAAAACAAAATTAAACACAAAAGAATACTGTGTTGTCCCTTTTATATAAAGTTCAAAAAAAGGGGGAAACTAAATGATAGTATTAAGGAAAGGAAGAGGGAAAAGCATTAAGGAAGCGTACAAGGGAGGTTTTTGGATATGGCGATGTTCTACTTCTTGACACGAGTGATGGTTTGCCAGTTCGCTGAGATTCACATTAACATTTTGCAGTTTTCTTTATGAGTGTCATATTTCAAAGTAAAAAAAAAAATTAAAAATCTGATAAACAAGTTTTTTTCTTTCCTTTGTATCACTGTTTCTGATATTATCAGAGTATGTGATAGTCATGATCCAATAAACAATGCTAAAATTTTTAAAAATAATAAGTTAAATAAAGTAGACAGAATAAAAAATATATAATAAAAGCAAGTACAGATCTGAACACCTTTCACATGTCCTTTGACAAATACACATATTAATTTTATTATAACTAAAACTGATTGGCATCAAAAGGAAAAGCTATTAATTAAAAAATCATTGCTGTGTACTACGTCTTTGTATTTTCTTTGAAAGAGACAGGGACAGCTGGGCTCGGTGGCTCAGCCTGTAATCCCGCGCCTTTGGGAGGCTGAGGTGAGTGAATTGCCTGAGCCCGCAAGTTCGAGACCCGCCTGGGCAGCGAGACCTCATCTCTACAATAAATCAAAAAATCAGCTGGGCATGGTAGCGCATGACTGTAATTCCGGCTACTTGGAAGGCTGAGGCGGAAGGATGCCGGAG